ACCTAGCCTAACAGTTTTATAAGGCAACAGTAAATATACACAATATATTCAAAATATATTTAGAAGGTTCACGTTGCATCTATGCATAGAATAACATGCTCTCCTACAGGGTCTGATTGGAGGAAAGCAGAAAAGGTCAGCTGCCCCAAGATACAACTATCATTTGTGTGCTGAGGACTCTGAATACTCTTTAGGAAGGAGACAGAGGAAGGAAGCACAGAAATTCATTATCAGAGATTACATATTATCAAATCTAGCATAGTTTGTTGTTAGATTAGCTAGCCTAGCAAGTTGGAAGTTTCAAAGGGAATGGGACACCAAGTCAATGTATTTTTATTATGGGGAAGCTCAGTAGGAGAGGCTGAGTAAGTGGGGCTCTGCCAGGGAAAGCCAACATAGATGAAGCGACTTAACGAGGGCCCACTGCAAAACTGTATGATACGAGAGGTAGTCAGCAAGCTGAAAGAAAATTGATGCCACGTATATGTTACCTCCATTCTATTAATATCTTAGTCTCAATACAATGTCTGTTACAAAAACATATTTAGCCACTAAAATATAGATATATAAAAGAAGCATGCACTTACATTTCCACATTACTCAACACATTGTACTAATGATTAAGTATTTACTATGTTTTTACCTGTCAAAATCAGACTCAATTTTGGGTGACGTTTTGAATCTTTCCACTGGAGAATGTCTTCGATATTTCCCTGATTGGCCATGAGATCTCTCTGATAGGACGTGTGATCTCCCTGATAGGATATGCAATCTCCCTGATGGGACATAAGATCTCTCTGATAGGACATAAGATCTCCCTGAAAGGATATGAGATCTCCCTGATGGAACATGAGATCTCTCTGATGGAACATGAGATCTTGCTGATAGGACATAAGATCTCCCTGATAGGACATGAGATCTCCCTGATAGAACATGAAATCTCTCTGAGTGACCATGAGATCTCTCAGTGTGGCCACGAGATCTCTCGAATTGGCTACAAGATCCTTCTGTGTGGCCACAGGATCTCTCGAATTGGCTATGAGATCTTTCTGTGTAGCCACGAGATCTCTCTGTGTAGCCACGAGATCTCTCTGTGTAGCCACAAGATCTCTCTCTGTAGCCACGATATCTCTCTGTGTAGCCATGATATCTCTCTGTGTAGCCACGAGATCTCTCTGTGTAGCCACGAGATCTCTCTGTGTAGCCACGAGATCTCTCTCTGTAGCTACGAGATCTCTCTCTGTAGCCACGAGATCTTTCTGTGTAGCCACAAGATCTTTCTGTTTGGGCATGAGCTCTCTCTGACCGGTCATGAGCTCTCTCTAATTGGCCATGAGATCTCTCTGGTTGGCCACGAGATCTCTCTGGTTGGCCACGAGATCTCTCTGGTTGGCCATGAGATCTGGCTGGTTGGCCACGAGATCTCTCCGACTGGCCATGTGATCTCTCCGACTGGCCACGTGATCTCTCCAACTGGCCTCCAGATCTCTCCGGCCGGCCTCGGGATCTCTCCGGCCGGCCTCGGGATCTCTCCG